GAACGCAAAAGTTTGAATATGGCGTTCAACATCCTTCATGTTTTTTCAATTCAAGATAAAATGAACAATGAGAAAGGAAAGAAAATAAAAACTCTCCTCCTTCACTTTTTACTTCAGCTCACAGGGCATTTAGAAAAAAGTGTTGTTGCCTTTATAATAAGACTATTGTAGTACCATTTTTTCCACATACCATGGCTTCACCTTCATATTCAGACACGTATATTTGTTAAGAATGAGGCGTCCCATTTTGCTGTATACTTCAAATTGGTAACACTTTAGATTAATTATCCGTTATAACTATTTAATAGAACATTAATAAACTGTTAGTTGAGTTAGAAATTAATTGTTAAATAAAAGTTAATAGTTTGTTAATTATTTATAATTGTGTCTTATAGATAGCCGACAGATAACTTACAAGCTGTTAGTTAACAAGTTTTAAATGACTTGTTAACTGTATTTAATGATTTATAACTATACTTAATAAATTAGTAGTAGATCATGAACAAGCTGTTGGTAAATACTTACTAAAGGCTTGTTTAGTATCAGTAGTTTAAATATGTTATTGACACGTTATTCTAAAGTTTAAATTGTTTTTCATTTACTAACTTTTATTTTGTTTTCATGTTTAATACAAACGGTGCCCAAATCTCATGGGTTTGTATTCTGTTGTATACTGCTGTTCTGCCATGTGATGGCTCAGTATGTGTGTTTCTATACATTAAACACACTGTTCAACATTTCATTTGTAGCGTTTCTTTGGTAAATACAGCACACAGAAAAGTCTTTGAGTGGAACAAGGTTAAGGTACAAACATTTTATATTTTAAATATCACATCGAATTTCTGTAGCTTAAACTTGTTCCATCCGTTTGCTGTTCTATAAAGTTTCACTGGTATTAGATGCTTAAATTATGAACAACTGATCTGTAAAGTGTGAGTTAATATATTAGTTAAGTGTTAGTTATTAGCTTATGTATGTTATTGGGACGTTAGTCTAAAGTTCCACCTATTCCTCATTTACTAACAGTTAATACATGAAGAATAATAGCAACTATAGAATAATGTCCCAATAACATATATAAACTACTAACTGATACTTAACAAGCCTTTAGTATGTAATTTAATAACAGCTTGTTCATGATCTGTTACTAATTTGTTATAAATCATCAAAATACAGTTAACAAGTCATTTATAACTTGTTAACTAACAGCTTGTAAGTTATCTGTTGGCTATCTATAAGGCACAATTATAAATAATTAACAAATGATAAACTTTTATTTAACTTTTTATTTAACAAGTCATTTGTAACTCACCTAACTCAATTATTAATGATCTATTAACTAGTTAAAACAGATAGTTATTCTAAGCTACAAGTTGACTTGTAAGGAACTGTTAAGTTGTCTTGACTTAATTTTAACTCAACGTTTAACCCTTGTGCACTGTTCAAATTGACAACCCTTAATTATGTTCAGGATGAAAACTACCACTGAATGAAACTGTTGTAAAAATGCACAATATATATATATATATATATATTTAAAATTGTTTTGCTTAAATCTGTTTATTAACCTCAGTCCTGATCAAAACAGCTAAATTGTTTAGAAAATTACAGGATTTTAACTCTTTAATTGGCAAATTTATAAACCATGTCGCTGATTTGGTGAAAAAAACACACAAAATGATGTATTTTCAATATAAAAAGTAATTGTTGACTATATTTTTAAAAACTTTTATCACAATCTTAGACATGTCTAGTGTACTTCCCCTTCTGTAAATAGTTTTTGTAAGAATGGAAGATAAAGCGATATATTGCTCGTTATCATCACGAGGAATTGTGTAATGGTTTTTAGTTTTCTTTTTAATGATTAGACAGGATGTAGGCCCGATTGGGTAGCTTGACTTGGACAGAGGAAAATTAAGACCTGTTTAACACTATTCAGGACATACAACACAATATTTCAGTGAAGTTAAGACTTTAAGTCTTTATAAATTTAAGATATTTAAAAACTTTTTAAGACTCCGCGGATACCCTGACAATTACTTTTTATATTAAAAAAACATTATTTTGTGTGTTTTTCTCAATAAATCAGTGACATAATTTATAAATGTCAATTAAAGAGTTAAAACCCTGTAATTTTCTGAACAATTTAGTAGTTTTGATCAAGACTGGGGTTGATTAACAGAATTATTCAACAACAACAACAAATATATATATAATTCAGTGGATGTTTTTATCCAAAAGGGTGGCAAATTTGCCCAGAGTGTATCGTTGAGTTTAAAAAAATAAAAAAATAAAAAATAATAAATGTATTTTCTTAAAATAGGTGTCAAAATAAGATTTGTCACGCAAAAATCATTCTATTAGCTAAAACACAGAGAAAGTTATGGCCAAATCAAGACTCAAAATCCCCCCAGAATGGATGAAAACATGCCCAACAGCACATAAGGGTTAAGTAAAGTCAACTAATCGCTTTTTACAGTGTAGAATTCATATTAACAGTGTCAAATGTTACAAATAATTTTAATGAATAAATGTAATCATGCTTGAATTTTTTTTATAAGTGTAAGAGATAGCAGATGCCATAAAAATATGCTTTATGATTGTTTTGTTACACTGACTGACATTTAAGCGGGTGTCTTTTGCGAATCATGCTAAAAATATAGCACGAAAAAACTTAAACGTGTATTAGACTTCCATTGTTTGATCCTTAAAAACTCCTTTTAATCTTTCACCCATACACAAGTGAAAACCATGGTACATAAATACACAATCCCTCATTAAAATGGTGTTTTAAAGTGCCACAGTTACAGTTCAGCCCCACACAACCATGCACTCATTTATAATCCAGATGCTTCATTCTGAATGATGATTCAGCTGGACTTAAATCAAAATTATGGCCATTATGGTGCAATTTACCCTTCATTAATAGTATACAGAGCGGCCGTTATGTCAGATTCTTCTGGAAAATATGGCAACAGTTTGCAGCATATCATTTATGGCTCTAGAATCACAGTTGTGGCTTTAACCCAATTAAAAACCCAGCAAATTTTGCAAAGACCAAAGCAAAATGTTTACTTCTCCAAAAAATAGCATCGAAAAGTGCAATAAAATGTAGCATGGGCTAGCACACGATACACAAACACAGAAACAAGCTTTTATCCACAAACAAAGACGACTTTAAGATATCAGTGTAATGAGCAAATCCTCTGAGATAACAGCACTATTCCTTTGTGAACATCTATCAAGGACGGCGCATAGCCTGAAGGTATCAGAGATGTGCTGAAATTCACCCCGACGCCTCAAATCCTCTCCCACGCTTAATTAAATATTCATTCATGGTAAGCTTTTAATTTTAATTACAGCTCTGGCAGGGTTTCGATTAAAACGGAGGCAAAAACCTCTATTGTTTAAGATATGAATATGCATCTCTACAATGGTTAAGTTCAAAGTCTGAAGCCAGAGGTTGTCTTCTCCATAAAAGAGCAGAGATAGGTGGCAGCGTATTCATAAAGACTGCTTTAAACTATCTCTTAAAGGGACAGTTCACCCAAAAATTATAACATTTACTTGTTTTAAACCTTTTGAGTTTCTTTCTTCTGTTAAAAACAATAGAAGATATTTGGAAGAAAGCTGAAAAATCCAAATCATTGACTTCCACGAAATTTTCCCCCTTATTTTGTGTTCCACAGGTTTGAAAACACTTATGGGTGAGTAAATAGTAACTCAATTTACACTTATGGGTGAACTATCCCTTTAAGGCCTTGGTCTACTTCAAACAAAATCAAACTGATGAATTGCTTCATCAAATTAATTTTAATGAAGAAAAGGAACATTGTAATGATTTAAAGCAGTGTTTCTCAGCCACGTTCCTGGAGGACCACCAGCTCTGCACATAATCTATGTCGCCTGAACCAAATTCAGACCATAAGTTTAATAGCATAGACTGAAAAACCTTGAAGGATATGACAGAAAAAGGAGACATCCAAAACATGCAGTGTTGGTGGTCCTCCTGGAACATGGTTGAGAAACACTGATCTAAAAAACGTTTTTGACTTTAAAGAACTTTTCGTGTAATACAACGGCTCTATAGATGCTTAATGTGCTTCGTGGATGCATTGACACAATAAAGAACCTTTATTTTTAAAGAGGACTCTTAAAAAAATATGTGGACAAAACAGACTAATTATAAAAGCATGACTTTCTCGGTCTACTTCTGAGCCAACAGGCCTTCAAATGTTCTTCAAGTTACAAAGCAAAAACCCTTCATACACCGATTTTGCTCATATTCATGTTCTCAGAATTTCTCAGCAACGGAAACAGGCATAATACCGCTAAAACTTTGGCAACTCGATTACACTTTACCACACAATGAAAATTCTGTCATTATTTATTCATAGTTGTATCAGTCCAAACCCAAAAGGTATATTTCTGGAGAGATTTTTGTCCAATATTACCATCTATCAATCAACTGTTTCCTTTAAGTCTTCAAAAGAGATGCGATCCCTTTATATGACGAGGACTTACTTTGTTTAGTCTTCAAATAAAGACTAAATGCATGCTGTGTGTAGTTTTTTTGTAAATGGTAACATATCGGAGGCTGCAAAGCAGGTCGCACACCAGACAGCTTTACTTTGACATTTCTGCGAGCGAGAATGATGTTGACTGAAACTTTCTGTCGTATACTACACCGACCAAAAAGGTACCCTTTAGTCCAGGGGTGTTCACACTCGGTCTTGGGGGGCCTGTGTCCTGGAGAGTTTAGCTCCAACCCTAATCAAACACACCAGAGCCAGCTAATCAAGCTCTTACTAGATATACTAGAAACTTCCTGGCAGGTGTGTTGAAGGAAGTTGGAGCTAAACTCTCCAGGAACGAGTTTGGACACCCATGCTTTAGGCAGTGGAAACGCAAGCCTGATAAAGATGACCCGTACCATATTGTACCACTCAGTGGAAACAGGCCAAAAAATGCTAAATGTTGCACACTTAATCACTAGGCTATTTGCACCGACCCAATGCAAAAAGTTAGCCTAGAGCCCTGTAAAAGAACATCAATTTCTGATTTTATTCTGAATATATTAATTTGTGTTCCAAAGATGAACACAACAGTTAGTTAGTAAATGACAGAATTTTCATTTTGGGGTGACCCATGCATTTACTGCTCCAACTTGATCATCTTTTCAATGTGACGTAATATGAACCTAAAACCCTGGTAAGTGATCTGTGAGATTAATATTTTACATTCAAGTTAGAAGACACACAAAACCCACATAAATGCAACTTGAAAGACATTAAAACAATAGTTCACCCAAAAATAAACACAATTCCTTCACAATTTACTCTAAACTTTAACGAATTCCTTTAAACACGAAACAGGATTTTCTGAAGAATGTTGGAAAAAAAAAACTAAAACACTATGGAAGTCAATGGCTGTTTTTTCCTCAACATTCTTAAACAGGTTAGGAACATGCGAATTGAGAGTAAATGATGACAGAAATTGCATTTTTGGGTGAACCGTCCCTTTAAAGATTTCTAATCAGCACAGTGGCAGCAACAGAATAAGTCTAGATCCTCCAAATAACCATTCCTTCCCTTAGTCTAAGCTTCTCAGTGAAGCTGTCCAATCGCGCTCTGCAGCATGACCGGAGACAACCAGAGCATTTCTACCAGATTATACTGCCAGTAGCCCATGAAGAACCCAAACGCAACATCCGTCACATTATGGCGTCCGAGCAGAACCCTGGAGAAGCCGACAATGGTGGCCCAGAGCAGGACAAGGACGCGGAGCGGGGCCGCCAGCACCAGATGGGTCAAAAGAAAGCGGGCACACATGGCAGCGCGTGTGGCGTGGCCTGATGGGAAGGAATAGCTGTCCATGGAGAATGTGGCAAACATGTCCATGCGGTTATGAGCTGGACGTCGACGCCGCACTACAGCCTTCAATACGCCCACCAGGACCACATCCAGAACTAAGGCTGGAAAGAAAAAAAAATTAAATTACAAAAAATGTAAGGAAACTGTAGACTGCAAATTAATATTTCCATCAGCTGACTAGTTTTTTCAAGCAGTAAACCATAGATCGGTGTTTCTCAACCACGTTCCTGGAGGATCAACAACACTGCATGTTTTGGATGTCTCCTTTGTCTGTTCCACTCATTACAGGTCTTTTAGACTTTGCTAATGAGCTGATGATCTGAATCAAATGTGTTTGGTTAAGGAGACATGGAAAATGTGCAGAGCTGGTGAACGTGGTTGAAAAACGTCACAGATTCGTCATTCATTTATATTTAAATTGGGAACAAACACAACCCTTATTACAGGGTTTCTGCAGGTTTTACAGAGTTACATTTAAGACATTTTAAGACCATTATGAATGACATTTGTAACGTATACAGGGCTAAATGCTAAGAATTTTTTTAATACCCCAGTCAGAAAAGATCTTTACTTGCCCTATCAAAAAAATTATTACCATTTAATACATTTAATAATTATAAATTTGTTTGAATATTTTTTTTAAATAAATTTTCAAATATATCCATTCATTCACAAACCCTATAACTAGGCTCACACGGAGTCTGTGTGCACAGAAATCTGCAGATTTTTTTGCTATTCATTGAGTTTATTCATTAACACACAATTCAATAAAAATAATAAATAATAATTAAATATTTAGTTTAAATTAATTTCAGCAAAACATTTACAAATATAATGATGTCCATGATATATATTTACAATACAGTTTGTAAGGTCATATTTTCTGTCTTTTAGTAGATATATCATTTAAGTTGCTTGCTTTGTTTACTAATTAAGTGGATCTAACTGGATTTGCATTGTAAACATTAATTAAAAGTTAATAAGGTATTATTTTTATTTCATATATAAAGTATTTAGTTATAAATATTTTTTCAGGCCATGAAAATGTGCATTATTTCATTAAAAAAGGCAAAAGAAACATTTATTTCAACTTGTATTTAAAAAACAGGTGACGCAGTGGCGCAGTAGGTAGTGCTGTCACTTCACAGCAAGAAAGTCGCTGGTTCGAGCCTCGGCTGGGTCAGTTGGCATTTCTATGTGGAGTTTGCATGTTCTCCCTGCGTTTGCGCGAGTTTCCTCTGCATACTCCGGTTTCCCCCACAAGTCCAAAGACGTGGTACAGGTGAATTGGGTAGGCTTAATTGTCCGTAGTGTATGTATGTGTGTAAATGAGTGTGTATGGGTTTCCCAGTGATGGGTTGTGGCTGGAGGAGCATCTGCTGCGTGAAAGCATATGCTGGATAAGTTGGCAGTTAATTTCGCTGTGGCGACCCCTGATTATTAAAGGGACTTAGCCAAAAAGAAAATGAATGAATGAATATTTAAAAAATGTTATTATCCATCCAGACAGAAATTTGTATATACACAGTATAACAACAAGACCACACTACACCACACAATAATAATAATAATAATAATAATAATAATAATAATAATAATATTGGACTTAAAACACAAGTTCCTTACTCTTTGTCTTTATTTAAAATATTAAATTGCAGTTGGAATAAAATAATTACTATACCAATGCTATCTTACGGCATTTCGCAACTTTTTGATTTAGTGGCTAATTAATATGAATTTGTATGATCTCATTCAGACAATTTAGTATGATTTGCTCATCACACAATGACAGTTGGGTTTAAGGGCTGGGTTGGATGCCACACCTCTTTTTTTTTTTAATCATACATTTTCATATGACTGAATTAGGCACTAAACTGACAAAATGTAAAATACTTACGTTTTCTCGTGAGATCTGGATATACTGACATCAGCAACAACAATAATGGAATTAAAATTACATTATTTATGGCATTTTATTTTACACTGTAAAACTGTTGGTTTCCAAATAACTGATTTGTGTTGGAGCAACATAAAGAAATTAAGTTAACTTATAAGTTTTTACAAATTTGAGAGGATTAAACTCAAAACAATTAAGTTGTCCCCTAAAAACACAAAGAATTGTGTTGTTCCAGCTTAATTTAAATAAGTGATTTGAACAAACAGAAAAAGTTATTTTTAGAGTGTATGTTTTATACTTGTTTTTTTTTTTTTTTTAGTTTGTACGTCACTCAGAACTTGCAGAGATTTGTTTGCAGTTTGGGTCTGGGTGCACTCTAAAATCTGTTGTCATGGGCTGCTTTGATAATATGCCAGTGCTGTGCAACTGATTACATAAATAACTGAATCAATCTCTGCGTTTTGATGATCAAGCTATGCTAAACCATATTGTGTCTTTAACATTTTTTAAAAACAATAATACGAATACAAAAAATACTAAGAACTTACTACAAAATAATAGTTAAATATAAACACTACTTCAATAACACACCAACAACAATTCAGTACATTCATTTGCCACTTAAATTTAGTCTAAGATAACCTTTTTACCCATTACAAGGAGCAGTAAGACCAAAAACGCATTATAGTTATTTAACAAAACATTCACAAAAAGTGCAAATCCCATGCAGCAATGACCCAGCCTGATCTCACCAGGAAACATGTTTTGTCAGTTTAGTAGCTAATTTGTACACATTCGTAGTTCAGTCCAGTTCATTTGTACGAAAATGTTCAATTTTAAAAAGGAGGCGTATCACCAAACTCTGGATAACTGCATAAGCAAATCAATCAAAATTTTACAAATGAGATCGTACAAATTTATATGAATTAGCCACTAATCAGAAGTTATGAATTGCAGTGAGATAGCGTTGAATGACCATCCCAGCAGCCAGCTCTAAATATTGGTCAGCTGCAGCATAGCTTTCTCTAAATAACACACAGCACTCAATAACACTCACTTACTTGCTTGGTTGGTTAGTTAAGTGCCAAACACAAGCAGTCAATGAAGCAGTATATTTGCTTTATCACTATGCAGGGGACTTATAGTAATTACCGCCTCAGCACAATCGCTTTTTTTAAATCCACACTAGAGTTTTATAGCTCTACAACAGATTAATCACGCTTGACTAAATTGTAAACTTGATATATCTTCAGGTAGTCTTCACTCTCAGAAATACACAAGCTGTCACGGTGGTACACAACAGGTTTCATTAGGTACCTCTTTTTACATAAGTAAATCTACAGATGCGACAACAGAAGAGTCGAGCTTTAAATGGGAAAATTATCACGTTTTTCAAAAACCTCTGAGAGTGATGCTAATGGTCTAATCTGATTGAATGATTTATGATATGCTAAGCTAAGCTAAAAGTGCTTCTGCTAGAGCTGGAGATTGGTTAAATTGAATAAAAAAATTTTAAATTCAATTGTTTGAATAAGTCTATTTCTAAAAAAAAAAAAAAAAAGTGAAGTGCTTAATGATAAGTAAAAAAATTCAACATAATGCTATTATTGTAGTCACCATTTTGAAGTCTTACTTTAACCAAGTGGCAACCTCCCGCTCTCCCCAATGAATCAAATAAATTAATTGAAATTCTGCTACTCCTGGCTCCATAATAGAGCAAATTTCTATTAAGTCCACTGTTAAAACAGCCAACTTTACAGCAGAAAAAAAGGTGTTTACAGTCAGGTATAAAGAACGATTTTGGTTCATATACTGTAGCTAATATTTGTATAACTCATCAATTTCGTTAATATTAAGTTATATTAACTTTGCATAATTAAGAGCGTGGGCGAATTCCATATAATAAATCCATATATCAATTCCATATAATAAATCGTTATTGATTTGTCAAAGTTACAAACTTTTAAAATACTTTAAAAAATAAAACTTACAAATTTTTAAAACACTTGCAAAACGATCATTCCCTAGCTCATAGAAGCTTATCCCATTATAGGCTAATTTCCTTTTTTTTTGTAAATTCCCAGTTTTTTCCTGTTGATTCCCAATATAAAGTTTCCATTTATTCCACTTTCAGGAATTCTGTAACCCTGGTACGCAGGAACTAATTCAAACTTTTCAGTTCTTGACAACCTCACAGGATAAACTTTCATGAAAAATCACTGACCACAACTTGCAGAACTGGTTTTTATGGCTGAAAACCATAGGAAGAGGACACTATCAACCTCAAAAATTAATTGAATCAGCATTTGCCATGTTGTCCCAATCAGGTGAATGATCAGAATCACTAAACTGTTTTTTTCAGACATAGTAACATCACTACAGATCACTCCACCTCACAAACTGGACACAAAAAGGGAGAAAATCTACTCCACAAACATAAGTTTATACTTAAAAAGGGTATGCACCAAGGGATGGGGTTCTTTACGGTATTTACAACCTGATCTGATCCTGAGAGTCATAATTATATTCCAAAATGATTTTTCACGCTTCACTTGTTATAAACCTGTTGAAGAGTCTTTCTTCTATTAGAAGATATTTTGAAAAATGCTCTAACCAGGGCTTAATTTGTGCTGGAACACGCTAGATCCAGAACCTCTGAAATCTGATCCGGTACCCTCCTCAACCGATCTCCTCTCCCATCCTCTGTTCACTTTCACTATCTTCCACAACACTGTTCACTTCTGTCTGTGACACCCACACTCTGCTCACTTTCGTCCACGAGACCCCGCCGCCAACTACCGCACCAATAACCCCTGCTTTCCACTTTCGTGCATGACAAAGTCTCCATCCTCCTGTAACATGCCTGATTCATTACCCCGATCTGTTCCAGGAGTCCAAAATTGAAAAAAAAAATTAAGCACTGGCTGAAACTAATTACTCACTTTGTATTTGTTTTACCTAAATATCAATTAGGGCTGCATGATTAATCAAAAAAAGATCACGATCTCGATTTTACCCAACACAGCAGCCTAATTCAGCTTTTCTACGAATCAGCCAATTGAATTTTCAAGGTCAGGAGAACAGAAAAGTCTTCACAGCAACATTGACCCCTTCAAATGGCGTTAAAAGTCGCACAAACTGTTTTCATGAGGTATAATTCTCCCAAAATGTCATTTCTGTCTTCATGTGTTGTGTTCAATGATGTATTCACGATCCCGAAATCACACGTGAGCTGGCGCACTGTTTGTTTACTGCTGAGAAGGCGAGCGTGCACGCAAATGACGCCTACTTTAGTGAACACAACCTGCATATGTTGTAAATAACAGGTAATAAAGTTGTAAATAACTTTCAGTTTGTTGCACAAAGCGATCGTTTGAGGGCCGTGCGGGAGGTTTGATTTGCATGTATGTGTTTTTTCTCACAGTGACAACAGATGTTTTCTCCTGTGCACACATCCTTCAATGATCATATCACATTTTAGAGTTATGATTATGACAAGCATTTGATATGATTTGATATTTGCTTCATCTTTCATAGCGAACACAAAGTGTTGTGCATGAAAACAAATGTTTACTGTGTCAGTATAACAACCCTAGCCTATACATAATGGTCTATTAATGTTGTCAATGACAGAAGACAAGCACAGGCCTTAAACCTAATAAATCAACTTCAGAATTATGAATAGTTATATTCTGATGTCATAATTTTACTGTGAATTAACAAACAGACCAAGTCTGCTCAAGTCCACCATAATACTAAATTTAGCATTTTAAGAAACAGTAGACCTGCACACAGGCCTAATATTATTATTGCCGTTTTATCATATGTTTGAGAATTAACAATAATAATAGGCTAATCATATTAACCTTTATTTTACATTTACAGAATCGTGAGAAAGAATCGTGATCTTGATTTTAAGCAAAATAAATCGTGATTCACATTTTTGCCAGAAGCGTGCCGCCCTATTTCAATGATTACAGGTTTCAAACATTTTTTTCATAAAAACTTATTTTGTGTTGAACAGAAGAAAGAAAGAAACAAAGATTTGAAACCACTTCAGGGTGAGTCAATTATTTTGTGGGGCAAACTAGCCCTTTAACTTGTGAAGTAAATAAAACGCTTTGGACAGGAAAGCTATCTTTGTAAATGAATCAGCCGTTTGAACAAAACATTTGACCCAGTAGCCCCTTTCCGGAAAATTACCGGCAATTTTCCGGAAAGGTTGTATGTGTGAACAGGCCCTTTTTGAAAATACCGGTAAATTCGTTCTGGCTATTTTCCGGAAAGAGAAGTTGTAACATTACCGGGAATTTGCCGGAATGCTGCGCTGTGTGTATGCAGAAGGAAGATTGCCGGTGTTTGTTAGAGCGCGTCCACGTCTAGAACGTGCTGACGTGAGACACCTGCTTTAGCCAATTAGAACAGTCAGACGCATTCACGTTGCCGGAATCTCATATTTACCGATATCACTGTGTGAATGGGGCTAATGAATGTGATGACATAGTTTTTTATGACAGGTCTAAACCAGCCAAGGCATCAGCACAAAAACACATCAAACTAAACTGTTTAATGATCCTTATCGGGGGGGAAAAAAACACTTGAAATACCAGAATTCTATAACTAGTTGAATGGCTGCATGTCGTTCTGGCTGTTTTCATACAAGACACCATATTTTCAAGTCATATTTACATTTAAAGCTTCTATCGGGATATCAGAATTAAGCTTTGAACCACTGTTGTTATATTTTATGAAGCCATTACCCTAAAAATACAATCTTTTTAGTATTAGAGCCTAAAATTGTGCATGAGATACTAGGCTTTTTGTGCTCAGTCATTTAAAAAAAAAATATATTGAAATATTGGGAAAAGTCTGTGTATTATAGATATGTGGGTTTTATTTTAATTAACATTACTTACACAAAGTTATTAAAGACAATTTAAAAAGGGTCTAAATGACCTCCTCTGTATTTCTAGTGTTAAAATATCAAGTTGATAAGCATTGCTCCTGCTGTGAGTAGGATCAGTAAGTGATTTATTGTCAGTTTTCCTCTGTAAACAATGGCGAGATGCATTATGCTAAATATATCTTAATCTCTACAAGAACAAAGCGGATGCATTTTAAATGTGCTGCTGATAAGCCACATCAACAAAAGAAAGCCAGAATGAATGGAAACCTGCCTCACCTGCAGGTAAACCTGGCACTGAAAGCGCCTGAGGGAAAGAGAGGTCCAAAAGAAAAAGATCGGGATGTCTAATAAGGAAAAGGTGGGATGAGATGAAATGGGTTATGATTGGCAAAATAAAAAAACTCTGGAAGTTCCAAGAAAGACAAAAGTAACTCATTAAAAGAAGTTAATTTATGTAAAGTTCAGAGAAAAGCAGTGTAAAAAGTAAAACAATTATGTAAAATATGTAATAAAAAAAAAAAAAAAAAAAAAAACCAATAATCAAATAAAAGTGACCAAAATAAATATATTGAATAAATTAAATGAAAACCAAACTGATTAAAATAAATCTATATATTGCTTCAACTAAAATAAATGACTTAAGCAAACTGTGTAAAACATTCATTAAAAATAAATTAGTAAATTGATTAAAATATTGCTTAATAAACCTAATAAAAATACCCTTTTTATTTAAATAAAATAACTAAGTAATTATGTTACTATTAATATTATTATATTTATTTTTACTTTAGATGAATAAAAAGCTAATTAAAACAATTGATTAAAAATCAAAAGATCAAAAAATTTGTAATATTTATGAAAATATAAAATATAACTTTAGTAAACACAGACTTCAGTAAAAATGACCAAATACTTGGAATTAAATACATTCCAATAAACTAATTTATCCAAACAAACTAAACACTTGATTACAAAAAAATAACATATTACGGCCAATCTTGTACATCTATTTGGGGATTTTTTGCATTCAAAAGATGATTTGATTGAAAAGATAGGAAATGTTCAAACTTTCAATTAAAGATTTCAGATTAAAGCAAATTTGCTTAAACTAATTTATTCAAACAATGAAAAACCCTTAATTAAAATAAATAACACCAAGTTTGACATAAATTAAACATCATATTTATGCACATTTTATTTTTGGCCAAATAATAATAAAAAAAAATCTGACATTTGAAATATAAAATTTTCCCATAATTTACTTATATAATAAATGTAAATATATTGAATATATACTCATATGTTCATTGGGGGCTTTTTGTATTTAAAAGATGCAGAAAAGATTAAACACATTGAAATGGTTTAGATTATTATAGATTTAAATATATTTGATTAAACTAATTTATTCAAACATTAAAATTTTTAAACGTAAATTATACATTGAACACATTTTTGGTCTAAACAACAATAAAAAAGCTGACATTAATAATATTAAACTCTCAAAATTAACTGAGTTATTATAAATGAAAATAATAAATAAATAAATATTCTGATTGATTTAACCGATTAAAAACTGTCAGAACACTGAGCAATAAGTGCGCTTTACCCATGAGCAGGTTGAGCATGACCTCCTGTCCGGCGGGACTGTCGCTCTTGTACAGGCAGTAAGCAGCTCCTGCCAGCCACGGAATGCCGTGACCGGACACCTCGATGAGCTTCATGAGCGGCCGCACGCTGCCCCAGGACGAGTCCTCGCAGGCGCATACTCCCAGCCGCTTGGACAGCCACAGGTCGATGGCCAATAGGGAGCTGAGCGCGATGCCGAAGAACGACGGGTTGAGCCGCATGCAGTCCTCCTCCGGTAACTGCTGCCCCCCGCCGCCGGTTGACGAGTTGGAGGAACCAGAGCCTCGGCGGCGGACGGGGCTTTCTGAGGCGCGGAGTCGGGCAGTGGTGGGGTCCGAGCCCTGTCTCTGCAGCAGCTGCGGCGGCACAGGAGAAGGAGGGGTCCTGTTCAGAGAAATGAACTCGTAGCGCCCGTTTCCACCGGGACACGGAACACTGCCGCTGCGCCCCGAGCCACTCCGAGCTTTAGGAGAAGGCATCGCGCTTGACTTGACGGGATAGTCCGATGTTGCTGGAGTGTCTTCTGTGTTATTATATCGCTTTTTCTGCGGTCATAGTTTTTTCTTACAGGTGATGAAAGAGAGCTCGTCTGACCAGATAAACGCGCAGCGCCATCTTTGAGCTTTCAGCGCAATGCACACTGGGAAATATGTGACAGGAATACAAAATAAATAAAGGAACGTCAAAGAATAAATTTTCAGGCTCGTAGCCACGGGACTTCAGGTGGTTAGAAAGACTCACTTTTCACTAACAAAAGTTTAGAATTTGTCCCGTACATGAGAGCTCATTTGTCCTTTTTTGACTGCTCTGCCATCATAGATTGTGAAAATAACCCATTGATTATGTGACTTCAGTTATTCAGTTTTGGCCAATGCAAACAATTCTATTTTTATAAAAGATATTTGCCTAAATGACAGACTGGTTTTTAATTTAAAACCTTAACACATTCATTTTTTTAAATCATGTAATATGATGCAATTTGTATTTTTATATTTCATTCATTCATTCATTCATTCATTCATTCATTCATTCATTCATTCATTTTCTTTTCAACTTAGTCCCTTTATTAAAACCACCCCTTTTCCCAGGCTGGTTACTGGCCTGATTTTTGAGCTTTGCAATATTAAGCAAATTATACAGTTTGTGTTGAAAAGCATTACATTAGAACATACTGTATTAGGCAGAATAACTATTAAGTAGTGCGATTGAAAAAATATTGGACAAATAAACAAAACTAAAATATATATTTTTTGAAACATTAAAAAAGTAAAACCATCAAACGCGTAAGTTAAAACTGTTGCTGATTGATTTAATGAAATATACTTCAAGGTAATAAATAAAAGCAAAAATATCATACAATATCTAAAAACTACAACAAAATTTAAATAAACAACAACAAAACATAAAAACTAAAATACACAGTCCAGCTAAACTTAAAACAAACAAACAAATACAAAAAAATTAAGTTTAAACTAAAACAAATAGACATGCTACAAAAATATATAATAAACATGATTAAACAATCAGTCAAAAAATGAAACATAAATAAAGATTGTTTAAATCAATTCATAGAGTTTACTACACAAAATTCTTTCTACAAAAATGTAAAATTGATATTGAGTTAGAATGTTTTATGAAAGCACATTTATTTCACATTTATTTTGGTCTTGCCAATATACTCAACATTTTTGGATTGGTTTTGAAGGTTTTACTACTCATAATATTTTAAAAACATTTTCCTTATCTTATAAACATGTGATTTTGGGTTATTAGGTTAAGGATCGCTCTTTAAAAGAGTCTGGTTTTATTATAAACTTTATTTTATTATTATGTAAATTTCCCATACAAAATTGGCAAAAAGCAAACCCCTCTTCATGGTGCTAGAGAAAGAGATTTGAATGTATATAAAAGTAATTTTTAAGTCTAAAATATAGGAAAATAATTAAAACAGTTAATATATGCTCCTCCTTTAACATTTTTGCATTAAAAATGTTTGTATAGATCATTTTCAGGGATGTAAACAAAAACAATGGATTTCCTGTTTTTACGTTTTTTAATTTCTATAGCTAAAAAGATCTACATATTGATAAATAATGCTTTATTTTAAATAAGTTATGATAGATTGCCTATGGAGGACGAAACCTGCAAAAATAAATAAATATGCAAATATATAAATAAATGAGTAAATAAATTCCTGCATAAATAAATAAATAAATATGCAAATAAATAAATAAATAAATAAATTTAAAATTCCACAAATTGCTGTATAAATATATAACAAAAACAATTAATCTTGGATGTAGTTGCGTATTTACTTCTCCTCAGCTCAACATGTTAATGAAAGAAAGTCTATCAATCATCAGAAGGCGGTCTTTATGCCATAAAAGACAATTTGATAGAAAAAATTTGCATTCCATTTTTTTTGACTGGCTTCTGATGATTAACAGACACCCTCCATGTTGACCTGAGGAAAAGTAAAATACTTTCAGTTTAACATTTTCTTATTCCCCCAACATTTGTGTAATTTATTTAATTCACCTGCCCTCATTATTAATTATTTAAATATTTATTTGCAGTAATTAGATTTTTTTAGATACATTTATTTATTTGCATATTTATTTATTTATTGTTTTGTTTATGCAAGAATTTGCAGATTTGTTTACTTGTGTATTTACATATTTGCATATTTATTTTTTTATTTATTATTTTTGCAGTTTGCATCATAAACAATTGCCTCTTATTACAGTTATAAAATTGTTTGATAACAAGCAGGAAATGTTCATGGGACAATGACATTATCACATTGAAATGGTCTATAATGTACATGCATTTTCTGTAGTAAAAGTCCAGTTGACTATTGACTAACTATTCTTATTAACTAAAATTGGAAAAAAAGAGCAATACATTTATATGTAGTTTAAAAATTATGTAATATGCAATTATGCAAGTTAATTGAAATTTTATTATTATGTTGTACAATGTTCTTAAGATAGAAACAGAAAGATCAAATTATATAATTACTATAATAATAAAAACCAACACAAAGAAAGTATTTGTTTGACAGTATAACAAAGGAAAATTTATCAAATGGGGTAATATAATGATAAATGTGTCATAAAAACATTTTTGTAAAAGCCGTGAACATTATAAAGCCAAAATATATTGTGTAAAATAAAAAAAACATTCATTCATTCATTCATTCATTCATTCATTCATTCATTCATTCATTCATTCATTTATTTATTCATCCATCCATTCATTCATTTATTTATTTATTTATTTATTTATTTATTTATTTATTTATTTATTCATTTATTCATTCAAGTTCATTCTCAGTCATCTTTGAACTCGGGAGGTGCCTGGGTTTGTCCTATCAAAATCGTCCCCGCCCTATCCTCTCTTCCGGGTCTAATATATATACCGCCTCTATTCCATGGTTACATGTGTGTAAGTGTGTTTCGATGTCAAAGTGCTCACAGTCTGAAACAGTCATGCCTGGGATATTGTTGGGAGACGTGTTCCCTAACTTTGAAGCAGATACAACAATCGGCAAGATTAAATTTCATGAATTCCTGGGAAATTCGTAAGTGGATGAATGTATTATTTGTGTTTCTGAGCAAGTAGGCCTGCTGTGTGGTTTAATGTGGTTTTAATGTAGTCACTCGTGGTCGTCAGATGGCTGATATACAGCATAACCTTTTGCATTCCTAAGTATATAACGTTAACCGATATTGCATATGACGACTAAAAGATGGTAATCAGTGTCTGGCCCAAATATTAGGATTGTTTTTATAATATTTCACGCCTTAAATATGTATTTATTTACGCAGAATTAGTTTAAAATGGAGTCCGAAAGACCTTCATGTTATGAATTGGTCATGTAATCTGCTGTAAGAAGCTTTTCTGTTTGATTCGGTTAGAATGTAGCTGAAAGTAAATCAAGACACTAGCACACAAACGGTGTGTTATTATTAGCATATTATATCAAAGCAGTTGTGACAAAAATGCCACAGACAGATCTGAGGTAAATTAACAAACATGATATGATATGAGTGATTGGTTTATCAAGCACTATAATGGTCGAGAATACCTGCGTCATTTTGTTTTATTTATTTGTTTATTTCTATAATAATTTTAATTCGTATCCTGAATGTTCGGTATATGTAAAATGTGCCCAGTCACTGTGGTTGTTGGAACTGAAATAACAAGGCCAGTATTGTTAAGATTTTGGCAGGAGTGCAAACTTTTTGGAAGTGACCCACATTACTGCAAAACTTGATTGATAATTGTAAAATGATGTCTTAAAGGCGTATAAATTAATTTGAATTAATTTAGTTTTATTATTGAATAATCAGTTTACTTGTATGTAAAAATGTGTTATTTATTTATGCATAAATGTCAAATTTCCATTGTGGATCAGTGTAATAGAGATATGTGTTTATTTAAAAACCAAGCAGATAATTGTGACTTGTATTAAATGTATAAAAGTAGCATACCAAAATGTATTTTTTAAAATTAAATCGCTAAAATAAATGGGTAAAACCTAGTGATTTCGAATGATGATGTAAATGATTTCTAATGAAAAATGACAACGAATCAGTGTTTTAGGTCTGTGCCATTTATAAAATTTATTTATTTTATTATATTTGTTTTGGTATTAACTCATTATGCTGAATAACATTCAAGTAGGTGTCTTTAAATCCTGCTAAAATATATGGTAGTCATTTTATTGCTTAAATATTTGAGAAATTCGATAAAAGTTTGATAGCCATACAAAATGAAAGTGCACAGCAAAATTTACTCCATTTAGATAGTATTTGTTTCCTCTCTAAATTAAGGTAAAAGTTACTTAAGTTAATGAGATAATGAAAAGATTAAGTGATGATTGAGCACTGATGATGAACACATTATGTTAATATGCAGAAGAGCAGCACAAAACTACATCTGACTTCAGTCCCAGCCTTAAATAAAATCAGTGAAAATATAATGCATTGAATCTCTCAAAATCTCAGCAGAGGATCATTTAAGCAACTCCACAAACAGCAGCTTTACTTTTCACCAACCTGTTTGCCCTTAAAGAGGGACCAAAAACTCTCTGAACTGAGTAAATTTTACTCAAAGGATTTTGCTGTGTGCATACTTTAAATAAATCATTATTAATATTGTTTGTATGCTTAAACCCCTTTTGTGACTGAACCAAATATATTATTATTATATTGTAAGATAATGTGACTATATAAAATAAATCAAGTAGTACACAAAAATACTTATTTAAATTGAACTGAATCAGCAATTCTTAAGTTTTTTCGGAATAACTTAATTTTTTTTTATGTTCAATGCACTTAAATTTGTAAAAATTAAGTGCTTGGTCCCAGTTTCAAGCCAAACTTCCTCAGGGAGTTAGCGGGGCAGTTTTGAGGAGTTTTGTCCTCAGGGAGTGGAGAGCGGAAGATGCTAAAGTTGAAGCGTATAACAGATGTTGTCATGAATAAAATGGTGTTTAGCAATATCAACCCTTCTGCATTTCACAATTTAAGGTTTTGTAAGAATGATCAAGTGTCTAAATCTGTTACATTTTTATTTTAAAAAGTCCCCTGAAATCTTAATTTTGTTACTATCAGTCTTAAAGTGACGGTTTGGCCAAAAATGAAAGTTTGACATCCACATTGACGCATTGACATCCACATTAAGAAGAAAAAGTACAATGGAAGCTTTTTCCAACATTCTTCAGAATATCTTCCTTCGTGTAAGAAAGAAACTCAAACTGGTTGACCTAAAAGATGTAACAAATAGAGGGTGACTAAGGGCCTACTCACACTATGCCATCCGTACCGTGCCCAGGCCCGTTTCCCGGATCGTTTGCGAAGTGTGAGTGCGCTCAATTGGGCTCAAGCACGGTTCACTTGGCCGGCCCTGGCCCGGTTGGAAGAGGTGTGCCTGAGCGCGGTACACTTGGGCTTTGACGCGGTACGCTTGTGTGTGAGTGCAAAACGCACCAAAGCCCGAAACTGAAAGCGATACGTGACTTTCAAGGGGTTGTTTCATATGGATTTATTAATTATTCTTACTGTTCAGTGATCGCAAACTGCCGTAGTTTATTAAAGACGAGAACTCCTTACAGCATGACAGCTGCGCACCTTCAGCAGACCTCCTCATTCCTGCAGCACGAGAGCTTAATGATTGTTTGAGCGCCAAAAGTGGCGGATCTGTCCGGTGAAATATCTGACTGCGTGACACCGCATCCCTAAGGACTGTTTGGCGAAATATTTGACTGCATATCACTGCGTAACAAACGACTGAAACGATATAACTAGAGAAATCTCCACTGTGCTACTGGGTGAGAGCGTATGGCAAGCCGTTTTAGCATTTAAACCTTGTTCTGACTATCTATAAATATATTTAGAGATATCTCTAATTATATTTTGACTAGTCATAATTATAATTCGACTAGTCAGATTGGAGATATCTGCAAATATATTATGACTGACTAGTCATATTCCTCCATTGACTTCCATTGAAAAATATTTGCAGATATCTCTAAATGAGTTTTGACTAGTCACAATTGTGATTAGAGATATCTCCAAATGAATTTTGACTAGTCAAAAATCCAATTCAAGATATCTACAACTGTAATTCTACTATTAGTAAATTAATTAGATATCTTCAAATATATTTGTAAATATCTCTAAATATGACGAATGAAAGATATCTCCAAATGTATTATGACTAGTAAAAACTCAGAGATATCTCTAATTACAATTGTTACTAGTCAAAATTCATTTGGAGATATCTGCAAGTATTTTTCAATGGAAGTCAATAGAGGAATATGACTAGTCATAATATATTTCTCCAATCTGATTTCGTACTAGTACAATTGTAATTGCAGATATCTCTAATTTTCATTCTGAGTAGTGGAATTATAATTATGACTAGTCAAAATATAATTAGAGATATCTCTAAATATATTTATGGAGTCAGAACAAAGATTTAAATGCTAAAAAGGCTTGCCATAGAGAGCGCTTCACTGAACAGAGCAGCAGCAATGACGTAAGCGTGCCGAGGCCCGATATGGTGTGAGCGCGGGCTGTCGGGGGAGACGGGAGGGGGGACAAGCGTGCTTTGGCCCGGTTCGAGGCAACTGTACCTAGTGTGAGTACGGCCTTTAAAAGATACTTTTTTTTTTTTTTTTTACAGACTATTTCTTTAATTAATCTTGAACTAGTGCACTTAAAAAAATGGTGATCAAATTCACAGATCGAAGATCAAAGCTTACAGAACTTGCTGTTTTTTAATAAATAAATCAGTGATTTATGACAATCTCATACTTCAGTTTCTCATCAAATTTTCTGACCAATCAATCACTCTTTAGTATCTTAATAGTCCTTCCCCAAGATGCTAAATCTGCAGCTTAATTTAGTAATTTATTATCAAGTGTTCATACGAGGTTTGCCTAAATCAATGGTTCCGAAGAAAATAACTAATATTTGATATAGGGTTAATAATCCTCATTGCTGACTTTTTTTGAGTTTCTTTTTTTCATTAAACACAAGATATTTTGAAGAATGTTAGAAACTGGTGGCTGTTGACAATGTTTCTTTTTTATATATTATTAACTGTATTAACTTTTGTTATTTTTACATATTAACTATTTTTTTAAACTTGTGTGTTGTTTGCGTTTTTATTTTTATTTATTTTTTATTAAAGGATATTTTAAAGAATATAAGAAACTGGTGGCTATTGACAATTAATGTTTTTTTATTAACTAGTGTTGTTGTTGTTGTTGTTGTTGTTGTTATTATTATTATTATTACTATTATTATATTAACTATTTTGTTTTAACTGGTGCCTATTGAATATTTAAATTTTTTTTATTAACTAGTATTAACTTTGTATTATTATTATTATTGCAAATTAACTTTTTTTTTTTTTTTTTTTTTTTTTTTTACCGGTATCTATTGACTATTTAATGTTTTTTTTTATTACCTAGTATTTATTATTATTATTATTATTATTATTATTATTGCAGATTAACTTTTTATTGGGGCCAATTGACTATTTAATGTTTTTTGTTAAATGAAGTATTAACTAACTGTAACAGTTTTTTTTTACTTTTTTTTTTTTCTTAACTATTTATTTTTTTTATAAACTGTAGTGTTTATTAATTTTTTTAAATGTCTTATTTAACAGAAAAAAAGTTTCTCCTTTGAAAACGCTTAACTGTTGGGTAAACCATCTCTTTAAATCTAGTCTTCCAGTGTGTAAAATGTGAGTTCACAGGGTGGAGGCAAAAGTTTGCATGAGTTTGAATTTCTTTTCAATGTGACAATCATGTGATCTGCTGTCCAGGGAGTCTGGCGTTGTTTCTTTAACAGCCGTCAAACTGCTGCTAGCTTTGAATAAGAAGTGCTGCTCTGTGCATTTGCACCAAACAATACTGAAATCTCCATTATAGGATTATTTATCTGGCTAATGGGAGATTTGCATTTCCTCCCTGATAGATAAAGCGAGCTTATTCCCATGTCTGCATGAGTAATCATTCTTTTCCTTCGAACTTTAAAACATGTGACATGATTATACAATGCTGAAACTCCATATAAGTAGTTGTGTAACTGGCCAGATGATTTCCCGACACAGCTTTTTAATGTCCCAACCTGACACTTGTAACTTTTTACAACTATAGTATTACAAAAAAGCTGGAATTTGTAGTTGATTACAGTTCTCAGTTAGTGGATCGAACATTTTTCAAAATTGTCCTAAGACAAGAATTGATGTTTAGGACAACTTTTGTAAAAGGTTTTGATCCACTTCAACTGTTGACTACAGAATCTTCATTAAAGGTAGGGCCACACAATATATAGTTTTAGAATGGTTATTGCAATGTGCACATCCTCAAGTCACATCACTGCATCTGCAATGTTAAGTCTGAATTCTAGTTGACCAGGAGCTGCTGAACGCGTTTGTAGAACTGTAGAATTTTAGTCTTGTTTCTATTCCAAGTATCAACATTTCTAACCAAAAAAAGAAAAGATTATATTACTTCCCTGATTGGCTGATTATTTAGCTTATTTAAATTTTTTTTCCTACCTGATCCAAAAAAAAAGAAAAGAAAAAATGGTGAAACTGTATTTATATCACTATATATTGCAGAAAAATAAAATCGCAATAGCAGATTTTTCCAAAATCGTGCAGCCCTAATTAAAGCGGTGATATCCCTACGTGACAAATTTGAAATAAAGGGTCATTTTAAATCCATATTATAATTTGTTTGTAACCCATTATACAGCTCTGGGGGGTGAAAATGAAGATAACACTTTTCTCAGTTTCTATGTTATCACTCTCAATTTACCAAAAAACTTTTTTTTTTTTTATTGTTAAAAAAAAAAAATCCATCAACCCACACTAGATAAATTATAACTTGTGAAGTTTCTCTCTATCTCTATATCATGCCTGCCAATGTTGAGATGTGAAAATAAGGGGTTCCAACCTCCAGCCCCTAAAAAAAATCCCGAATTTTTTTTGTAAATAAACAGTTGAAACGGTCAGTAATGTTTATAATAATAATAATAATAATAATTATTATTATTATTTACAAAGGATAGAATAAATAGTATACATTAAAGCTGCAAATAAATTATCAAACAGTTTAGTCTATTAAAATTAATAGCTATAATTTGATTCCGTTTCTTTATCTCAATCTTTTCTTCACTTTAATTTAAACATTCTGATTAAAGAGCATCGAATGAATCTCTCATTTAGATTTTTCATTTGATCACATTAAATAAGTTTCACTTTAAAAATGCACAGATCCATAATGAAAGCATACGATTGCTTTCCTTTTCATGCTTGTTTAATACAAAATTTGTTTTATTTAAAAGTAAACCCACCAAGATTGATGGGTTTCGATGTTGTTGTTGTTGTTGTTGTTATTATTATTATTACGTGTATATGTCCGTTCAAACATAAAACTCAATCTCAACCTTCACTCCACTTCTAATCGCGTGTACAAAATCTGTTTGGGAAACTGCTTCTATTCACTAACAAAGCGCGACTGCCCCGCTACATGAACTCACTGTTTTAAGGATTGCAAGGGGCGACCGCACCTGTAGTGGATAGGAAGGAACTCCCATCATATTTATATTTATTTCAAAGTGTTTACATGTCTAAATAAAACTAATGCACAGAACAGACTCTCATTTAAGAGCAAGGGTGTCCCCTGGTGGTTCGACTGTATGGGTTGCGTATAAGGACAATCAGCTCTTAGACGTTTATAACCACCTTTCATAGAAAAATGTAAAATATGGGAAAATGCCTTTTCGGGATGATGGCAGGATAGAACTGTAAAATATGGGAGATTCCCAGGAAAAACGGGAGGGTTTACGGGTATGTTGTACATAGAGAGAAAAATGTTATATATTTCAAGCAAGCACTTAACCCATAATGGGATGGATCAAACTATCATTGAGAGTAAATGCAACTACTGTATGTATTTTTCTTTTACATAGACCTACTGCTGGAACTACATTAATACAAAACTGGGTTGAAAATCTGCAAAATTCACTTTAGTTTTTGATTTTGAAATGAGTTATTCTTGCTTTTTTGTTTTGTTTTCTTTTTTTTTCAGATGGGGCATCTTGTTCTCGCACCCTCGTGACTTCACTCCAGTATGTACAACTGAATTAGCCCGTGCCGCCAAGCTTCATGAAGAGTTTAAGAAACGTGACGTGAAGATGATCGCCCTGTCTATTGACAGCGTGGAGGACCATCGCAAATGGAGTGAGGTCTGCAGATACAGTATAGCACGCATGCACATAATTGATATCATGCACTTGATAATTCATTACCAAGTTTCTATACTGTTGTTCCCAATTGCCTCCATTATGATATAAAACCACTAACAGTTGATGATGGAAAAAATATCACAGTACCACTTTTGAATTCACTGAGCTTCTGAAAGCGACTCATTTTTTTTTTTTACAAATGTTGGTAGAAGCATCTGCATTCTTAAAAGCTTGATTTTTAAACTAAGATGATGGTGATGATGATAATAATTATTATAATTATAATAATAATGTATAGATTTTATTTGCACAATTGATTACTCTTCAAAGAATGATTTTAAACAATTTTAAGTGTTCAGTACATTCATGAAAAATCTGTTTAATGGATAAATAAAACAATCTCACATGGGCCTTCCTTGCTGAACACCTCTGTTTAAAGAGGCTGCGTTGTTTTCTTGCAGCTTTAGCCTCCAGTCATTGGCTCTTTGGCCTCACACAAACACGGTGGACTTCTCGGATTGGTTCAGACCAAATCAACTTATTGTAATCCCAAAAGGAGAGACTTTCTGCAGCTGCTGACTTTCTCTTAATGTCTATCTGAAGACCTGCTTGCATGTTATAAAATGTTCTGGTTTCCCAAGTGTCTGAACCTGGCCAAAAGTTTCATTAAGAACACTGGTGAAAATGCATTTTAAAAAAGCCATGTCGCGAACTGTGGCTGCCGAGCTTCTGCCTTCCTCCCTTACTGGACATGCAGTCATACTTTCGCACCCACATGTTCCTATGGCTGAACCCTTGTGTTGATGAGAATAATGCAGATAAACTGTTCCCACGAGATGCCATTTTGGCTGACTGTTTAACCACAGCTCTGTTTTAGTCATTATGTACCAGAAATCTGATTGTGTACATGTACTGTAAAGCAAGTAATGGTGAATTGTTACTAGGGTTGATTAATATGATCATTCAATATTTATTATAAATTTCATATTTATAATAATTATAATTTATATTGTATTACAAAATGAGCAAAATTGTTGCGAACATTTATTTTTTAGTATTATTTTTTTTTAATAGAATGTGGACTACAGTTGTGCTCAAAGGTTTACATACCCCTTGAAGGAAAAAAATCTAAAATATCTTACTTGGGAAAGTACTAAATAAATAAAAAAACATTTTTGTGTTGATCTCTCCTATTTTGTTCAAGCTATTCACATTTTTTAGTGTTCTTCAAGGGGTATATAAACTTAAACACGACTGTATGTATCGCAGATGTGTGTTAAGAGTCAGACTCATTCAGTGTTTTAAAGGGTCATGACACCCCCCACTTTTTGACACCCAGCTCTTCTCATAGGATAAGAAAACTCCACTATGAATAAAAATGAGAAAGCGACACGTCATCTTTGCACTTGCAGTTTTGTGCTGCGTCGACGATTTTGATCCTGCCCCAAAAAATCAATTTAAACCTAGAAGCTGAAATTAGCTGACAAAATCTCAAAATGATCCAGTTTTTCCCCACAAAGCTAACAGGTGCTAACATTGTCTTAACTGATGCTCAAAACACACATCTCTTAAAATCTAAAAAAAAACGTACTTGAGGGTTTTGTGAACCTTTTAAAAACTACTTTTCTGAAAAATATTGATTACTTTTTATTTTAATATCAATAGATTTTAAAATAATATTTAAAAAGATTTTATAGGGAAATGTTACATCTCAAGAAATGTGACCACAATACACAACAACTTTATCGCATAAAGCATATTTTCCAATATTGTGCAGCCCTAAGTGTTACATTTATAGTACATTAATTTGTTTGTGGGTAAAGGAACTAAAACTAAGAATTAAAACCTCATACAATTGGGAAAAAAGCACAACAAAGTGGCAAACTTTATTTGAAATTATAAAGTGCTTTAGTTACTTGGTAATGGAAATATATCTGTGTCGCAGCATGATTTATAGACTAATATTTTATTCAGTGCAGGAACACTCCGTTGACTTTAGCTGTCTGCACCAGACACGATACGACATATTATAAATTTCAGAGTCTATGAAATTAATACATATTAATTATCTCCAACTTTATTAAAAGTACATGCCGAGTGCTGTTGGTGTGCAAATCACAGTTCTAATATTCATGTTGGCTAGTAGATCTAATTTAAACTATCTGCTGCTGTTTCAGTAGGTCTATAAATGTAACAAAATGATAATTAAACTCACATTAGTAGGGTTTAACACTGAATGAAGCACATGAACAGCAACTGAGGTGATCAGTCATGGTAGTTTATGTTGTTGTTCAGCCACAACGTCATAGAAATAAAGCCATTTCTAAAATGGAAATCTTCACGTGCCACCACCATCGCAGATGGTTAGGACAAACTTCTTTTAATATAAAAAAAGATGCACATCACTTGACAGACTAGTTTTTCACTGTGTAGTATTTCTAAAGTTGACTCAATTTTAAGGAAACAAACTTAAGGACATTTTTAATTTTAATCAAGTCGATTGCAGTAATTGGGTTAAAAGTTAAGTCAACTCCAATGTTCTGAATTTTGCTGCCTTTAATATTTTAAGTTGAGTTGGCTTTTTAAATTTTTTTAAAAAATTTATTTGTTTTTATTATTAATTTATTTTTTAAATCGTGTAGTTATTTCATATTCATTAATTTTAATTTTTGGACTTGATGGAAATTACTGAGCAACAACAATTTAGGATGAGTAACTTTGTCATTGTGCCCTTGTCACACATTTATGAACTAAAAGGGAGTTCACAGAATTTGCTACAAAACCCTTGTAAAAAAAACTTCAATTTTATTGAGCAGTTTAAAATCTGTTATATTTATTTATTTTTTTTTTAGATAAAAAGGGAAGTAATGGTAGATTAGGAGTTTGTATGGTCTTTTTAAAATAAGATCAAGCTTGGATTTGGATTGTTAATGCTTTAGTCTACAGATCTAAGCTGTGGGTCAGCATTAAAAATTAGAAATGATCAATTTCACATCTACTGTATGCCATGTATAATAAAGCAATACTATAATATTGCATCTTTTGTTTTCTCAAGGACATTTTGGCGTTTAACCAAGACAAAGCCTGCTGCCCCATGCCATTCCCCATCATCGCGGACGACAAGAGGGAGTTATCAGTGTTGTTGGGGATGCTGGATCCTGATGAGAGGGATAAAGATGGGATGCCCCTCACTGCCCGCTGCGTGAGTGTCCAACATGCTTTAAAGTCTGTGGTTAAAGCTACAGTAACATCATAACTTAATCTATAGAACACAACACTGTATTGTAAATACTGTAAAAATCAGACATTGTGATATTTTGCTTTGATGGGATTTTATATATTGTAGTATGAAAGAATAATTAGCTCTATTTGGAAAGATTTCATTTAGATCGAATGGGATGATCAAGACTTTTTTTTTTTCTTTCCCCCAATGCATTGTATAAATGTATAACAATTTATTTATAATACATTACAAGCATAAATAAACGGTGCTTTATGGTTTTCTGGAGAGTCTAACTGTATTCAAGTACAGAAATTGAACAATGAAACAAAAAAATCTGCACTGGCTTTCTGTTTTCCAATCGATTTTAAAATCCTAATGCCTGCGTACAACGCCTTGAATGGTCTAGCACCACATTCTTTTGTCTAAGCTTTTAATCCCATACACTCCTTGACATGCTTTACACTCGTCTGATGAAGGTCTGCTCCGTCAACGTGGCTAAAATCCATGGGGGACATTCTATGGCATTCTCTTCATTGGAACCTAAATTGTAGAACTCTTTACCCTCTGATGTTCGCAATGCAGAATTCCTGAGTATTTTAAAATGGTCTCTTAAAACTTACTTTTAGGGTAGCTTTATTTGACTTAGATTTTTTGACCTGTTATTATTTAATTTGTTAATTTTAATAATTGTTTTTGCATTTATATTCGTCTTTGTGTCTTTTACGGCTGCACATTTTATGTCTGTAAAGTGCCTAAAAATGTATAAAAATTGTCTAAAAATAAAGATTATTTATTTTTTATTATTATTGATAATAATAATATAAATGTAAAATATAGGGCTGTCAATTGATAAAAACAATTAACTAATTAATCACACTTTTTAAATTAATCAAGATTAATTGCAAAAAGCCATATTTATTACAGAAATTAAAACATAGGCATGTTAGTGCCATTTTGAATTTCAAAACAATTAATGCTAATAACAAAACTGACTTCCGTGTTGGATTTTGAGTGTTGTAAGTTGTATTGTGAGTTAAGAACATTAATTATAAAGTAGAAACAATTTTGCTTTGTCCTCCTTAACATTAAGCCAGATACTAAGACAGTCCAGTCTGTTGACATTATCAGGGGACAATGTGGACCTTTCCTTTTGAATGATGTGAGCTGAGAGTGAGAACATTCTCACAAGCAGAATCACTGAATCAGCATTTGAATTTCGGTGCCTAATTTTGGTGCCACTGGTGCTGTGTCAAGGACACAAGAAGCACCAAGTGGTACATCAAAGACACGTACCGAAGACTATAGACCTCTTACAGGGTCTTACACCGTCAGCAATGTTAGACATTTGCTCTTGTTGCTAAGAAACTCACACATGCGCGCGCACTCACACACACACACACACACACACACACACACACACACACACACACACACACACACACACAGCCAACGCGCACAGTACAGCTGGTGAGCAACTCCCTTCAGATTCATCAACACGCATGATCACGTTTATTAAATTTGCTTAAACAAAGCTTTCTAAAGTATGGTTGTATTTTACAAGCAAGGATTCTGACACGGCAATATGAAGCAGATGCTTTACAAAAGTTGCGTGTAGGGGTGAAATGCATCTAGCATAATGAAACGTTTGAGGGTGCATGGAATCATCTGAAAGGCAGAAGAATGGGTTGTCTTTGACAACTTGCGACATCATCTGGCACTTTTACTGAGTATAATTACATGGACACCAATACTTAGATTTTATGATAAAGACAATACTCTGATTAAGTGTCTGCCTTGTAAACTTTTTTTTTTTTTTTTCTTAACCTTACAGGGCTATATATATATATATATATAGAGCTAAACGCGCAGCTGAACGCTACTGGTTTACAGAGATGTGTCATTTGCTTGCGCAACTAGCCAGAATGAAAACAAAAGAGCCGCCATGTTTGAAATACATATTGAAATAGTTTTTTATGAGCCAGTCTGAAGCGTGAGTGGTTTCGCTTCTTCCTTGCGCTTGCCGCACGCCTATATCTGAAATAACAATCTTCTTGAGCTGAAGATAATAACGTGCGCTTGATTATTGATGTGCTTTTGAAACCCGATCCTATGATAAACTGACAAATGCGAGAATGACTCGTTCAGAAAGAAAAGGACTAATGCGAGAGTGAAGCACGGAAAAAATGGAGAAGCCGGGAAAATAGGAGCACAATGTTTTTCAGCAAACATGAACACACTGTCTTTAACTAACTATTATCTTCACCTTTTGGCCTATCATGAACTTGGAAAGATGGAATTGCTCTTTAACAGAGGCTACATGCGCTGCTGAAGATTACAGACACAGATGAGAGAGGTCTGCTCTGACTGTGGGCTATATTGTGGGCTATATTTCCTGTTGTTGTTTTTTTTAACCTAAATAAGCACTAAATGTCTGCTGTGTGTAGTTCTTCTGTAATTGGTAACATATCGGAGACTGTAGGGGTCTGTATGTGTTCAAATATGTTCATTTTATCTATTTAATATAATTACAGATGTTACAGTAGGCTATTTTGCACTGTCATTGATCTGCAGTTGTAATCAAATCTCATAGAAAAGTTAGTAAAAAACATTTACACAGAAGTATTTGTGTATAAACCATCTGTTTTGTGAGAAGTGCTTCTCATATGATATGTAAGCCACCATTAAGGCTTTATTGTATATTGTATACATTTCCTTAAGCGAGAATGATACAACTGAAACTTTCCGTAGTATACCATGTCCACTAAAAGGGTTCCCTTGGTAGTGGAAACACAAGCCTGATAAAGGTGACTTGTACCGTACTGTACCAGTCAGTGGAAACGAGCCATAAGTAATAACAATAACAATGTATTTAAGAATATCTATCTTTTAATAAATCTAATACTGTGATTGTGGCCATTGCAGACACTCATTGCGGTATCGATGTGGAAACCATACATTATAAAGCCCTGGTTGGGAATAACACAGAAATATCACACATTATTGTAAAATTTACATAAGATTTTAACTGTTACAATCTGTGTAATGCAAGTAAATGTTCAGCAAACACCTTCATTATTACTTAGCCTGGGAAACCTTTTGTATCAGTGTGGAGGTAGGACTCCAGCTAATATTTGATATTATAATGTTGTACAGAAAAACAACACTCATTGAAATTCAGTCATGTCTAAAGTTTATTTTTTTTGCCCACAGTCTGTCTTATTACGGTGTTAAGTAGTGTTTTGTCCTTTTCCCTGCACTAACATGGAAAAAGGGTGGCATAGTGGCGCAGTAGGTAATGTTGTCGCCTTACAGCAGGAAGGTTTTTGGTTCAAGCCCTGGCTGGGTCAGTTGGTGTTGCTGTGTGAAGTTTGCATGTTCTCCCTGTGTTTCTGTGGGTGTCCTCCGGGTGCTCGGAGGACACCCACAGAAACACAGGGAGAACATGCAAACTCTCCCCCACAGTACAAAGACATGGGGTACAGTTGAATTGGATTGGCTAAATTGTCCGCAATGTATGAGTGTGAATGAGTGTGTATGGATGTTTCCCAGAGATGGGTTGCAGCTAGAAGGGCATCCGCTGCGTAAAACGCATGCTAGATAAGTTGGCGGTTCATTCCATTGTGGCGACCCCCGGGTTAATAAAGGGACTAAGCCAAAATGAAAATGAATGAAAGAACAAATGGGAAAAGCATAACAAATTGACTAGCTTTAAATGGAAATTCAACTATAGCAACATTAGTTACTGGACCGTTTTCACAAGACTTATAACACCTTTAATGGTCATCAGCATCTTAAATTTCTAAAGTTTTTAATTTTGTGTTTTTTTTTTCTTTTTCTTTTTTTTTAATTGTATGAACATTTTTGTATTTTATGGTTTTTGCATCATATTACAAAACTTTTAATTTCCACTTGTGCGACGTGTTTCTATTGTAGTTTGTATGGGGGCAGGGCAATAAATTTGACGGTTCTTTCTTCTGGCTGCCATTATCAGTCCCACACATTTTCTTTTCCTGTTTTTGAAAGTCTTGATAACACCATTGTGGCATTTTTCTTTTAATATTTCAGTATATAGGATTGTAAAAAATATTTGTTGTACTCTCCCATTTACTGTTCTCAAAGTTTACTATGATGACTTGCTCTACTGATAAACCCAGAAATGTGAGAAGGGTCCCTTGTCGGTTAAAAAAAGGTCTGTGTAGCAGCATGTTTCAGGTAACCCCCATAAAAAGGTGATTTTTGTGAGTGTTGATCTACCTGACTGGATTTCTGCAGATATTATGTTGCGTTGTAGCTCTCCCATATCCTTTGTACCTGCAGATTTAATCTAGTCTCTGCTACAACATGTGCTTCAGCGACAGTTGTCAGGATGACGAAACCCTGAGTAACCCCGATGTTTTCACAATCCTGTAAAGTCTCAAACAAGTCTTTTGTGCTGCTGCTTTAAGTCCGTGAGTTTAAAGTTTTTCCGAGCGCAGGTCAGGGGTCCGTTCTTCGTACCTCGCTTAAATGATCTAAGATTATTTGGCAGATCCTGGATCTGTTAATCTTGATAACTGATCTCTCGCTAATTTGGTTCTTCAAACAAGTTCGTGAATCAGATTAGAATGTCTGGATGAACTGATCTGAGATCGCTGTGTGTGTTGTGAAGGACAGATCTATCGATCCTCGAAATCATGATCAGCAATACAACGATTGGCTGACGGCACAGCAGCATAATGACATCATCTGATTAATATTCAATTATCCATGTGAGCAAAATTACATCAAATTAGCAGTAAACGGCTTGTTAAATATGACACCTTTCACGTTTGTTGTGAGCTGCAGGCTTTACACTTTCATGTGTCGAGTATTCATCATGTATTTCAATGCAAATCAGTGTATTTAGTTCTACATTTAGAAAATTTTTTTTTATTGTAGTAGCCGTTTTTTAATCGGTGTAAAGAATAACTGGTTGTTTACAAAAGCATTTTCATATTGGTAAAGGCGTCTGCAACTTTTGTGAAGCATCAACCGGCATATTAACTATCAAAACATGTTCATGACTGCATAAATGTATTATTGCTTTAAAAAAAAGTCACATATTGTGCATTTCTATTATACACAATTTGTACTAAAGCGATCTAAAAAGTTCATATCAATAAGTTTTCTCTTTGCACCACCAGGTGGCAGTCTTTGTACTTTTATTTCAAGGGTGCATCTTGCATAAGTTTTATTAATTTGTATAAATTTATTTATTTTATTAATGACTATAACTTTCTATATATAGTTAACAAATATGTACCATTTTCCCAAGTGTATGTAACTACTACTGTAAGAAAATATCAGAATTAAGAACATACTTTCTGTATTATCTTTGCTTGAACTGACCCGATCTAATCCTGTTTATATGAATTGAACCTGCTTCCGATCAGGTTTGAGCTAGCAGAACTGTTGCTATGACAACAACTCTCGGATCAGCTTTGAAGAACGAAACAATCCTGGATCGTGTCAAATCGTCAATATCCAAATCCAGCTAACTGAGTAATCCACGTACGAAGAACAGATTCAGGGGTGCCCAAACTCTGTCCCACAGATTTTTAGCTCCAACTTTCCTTAACACACCTGCATGGATGTTTCTAAAATGCATAGCAAGATTAGCTAGCTCAGGTGTGTCTGATTAGGGTTGGAACTAAACTTTGAAGGACACCGGCCCTTTAGGAGAGATACAGGCACCCTGCTTGAGGTGAACAGTTAACCCATGGGGGAAAAAAAAAAAGTTGTTTTACTAATATTCACTGGAAGGGCCCGTTTCAGTAAGGAGGTTTAACTCTGAGTTTAAACTTGAACTCTGAGTTGATTTACCAAGAGATTAAAATCTCAGTTTTCGGTTTCAGAATAGCGAATCTGAGTTAGGTCAATCAACTTTGAGTAGACCTTAACTCCAAGTTAAGCGCACACAATGACTATGAAAAGGCATTTCTCAATGGAGTGAAGATATTACGAGTCACCATTTCTTTCTTCAGCTGAACTTGATCTGCTCATGCAAAGTTATAGAAAATATGATCATATATTTGAAAAAGCAACACCACTGCATCAGTAAAACAGAGACAGTTAGTGTAAGAAAACATAGCTGCTCAAGTTAATGCGTAATTTTTTCTTTTAAAGTATTTAAATATTTAGGTATAATAAAATAAGTAATGTTTTGTGACTTATAAAATTACACCCGTTCTCACTTTTCTACACGTTGATCAGTTTTATTAAATTTAAAAGTCCACTTGTGTGTCTGCCTCTATTATTGATCAAGTGATAGAGGTTGATATGACATTTATAATGCAATTTGTATGTTTAGTAAAAAAAAAAAAAAAAGTATTTTTTAGAAAGAATAACAATCCCATTAATCTAGTTACAGTCCATGAAGGTCCGTAAATTTAAGCTAATTATTAATTAAAACAGGACAAGCCATTATTGTACGTGACTTTGTTGTTTGTGTGACTGAAATTTAGATAATAGCTGTTTCTATCCAAATATATTAATTCAATTTATGTGCAAAACTGGAATAACGCCTAAAAGATATGCGAATAAGCAGCGTTTCCATCCAATGAGTCAAAGAGAACAAAATCGTCCCTTCCTAATTAAACGGGCGCTGAATATCAACAGTAAAAGCAGAATTTACTGCGGTAGAAGAAGCTGCGTCAATCTTTTCTTTACTTAATAAATGTTTGCGCCTCAGAAGACAATGCTGACACAAACGCATGGGGGTGTTTGAAGGCATGAGACGTGGAAAGCAGACACTCTTAACATGCTCCAGATTCTCTAGATCATTAATAATTGGTTAATAATGTAATAACATTAATACTGAAATGGTTAAGGCGTTTTAGAATAAATGACCAAAACAACATTTAAGATGTTTTACAATGGACAAACCAGCAGGCTGAGCACATTATGACGTTTTGTTTTCATCCGCCTCTTCAAAAGGAGCATTAAAATAGGTGGGCGGAAAAGAAAGGCTTAGGCGAGAAATACAGCTTCGTCTTTAATTCAAGAATTCACACTTAGCTGATGATCGATTATAAAAGCTTGTTTGGCATGCTGTCCTGGGATAGAGCCCTGAGCTCATGAGATCCTCCAGCTCAGGTAGATCTCTAACTCCCCTACTGTAGTAACCAATGAACAGTCTCATGACTGTCTCATGAACAACTCATCTCCCTAATTTGAGTTCAACTTTTTTTAAAGAAAGGTAAGGTTGTTTTATTTGTGTATACTCTTTTTCTCTAGAGAAAAAGGAGTTCAGTTTCTTAATAGTTAAAAACAAATTTGAATAAATGTTAGACTAAGTTAATATCTTTTTTCAGTTTTTTTCTTTCTTTTTTTGTACCAAAAAAACTTTTTACTAATTGCAATATTTGTCAAAATATTGCAATTAGATATTTTCCCCAAATCGCACAGCCCTATTTTGGACGATGTTTTTCCTTTTTTTAGTCTGATTTTAAAAAATAAAACTTTCTGATAAGCCCAAGGTCTCAATTTACCAGATGTTAGTTTTTTGTCAGTGGCTTTGGTGCATTTGTCACAACATTATGTACAATTGCACAGCAGTTGATGCGTTTTTCAAAACATTTAGTACAAACTGAAAAACCTAGCTGATAACCTGCAAAAGCGCGTCACTTGCTCAAAATGGATAGTTCATTCCTCAAAAGCAAGTGTTGATGTTAATGAAAGTGTCAGTGTTATCAAAATGAAAAGTCCTGACACCATTGTTTATAAACATGTTTTCATTATGAGTTTATTCTGTACATTCCAATGCAAAAAAGTCAGATTTTGGTGACTCTTCCTGAAATGCTCAAGACAGCAGTATATACTGCACAGCCATTTAAAAACTACTCTAAAGTTAGACATCACTGCATTTAATGAGGTATTCGTGTACAAGACACTGAATATGTATGTTTCACAGTTTTACTGCATTTGCTCGTTATAATTCTAATTTATTTACAGCGTTGTGCAACAGAATAAATACACTCTTATTTACAACAAACATAAACTTTCTTTGGGTAGAGCTGTGCACAACTGTTAACAATATTGCAGTACACATTGCAACTGAACCTACAACACACAGAGTACATGCAAATCATTCATAAAATTGTTCAATTTATAGACATTTTCAGGAAAAAAAAAGATAATTTTTTTTTTTTTAATAAAATTTGCTTAACCGATTTTGACAAGTAGTTCAACATTTCTGTATGAAATGAGGACTATTAGTTTTATGTGCAATGGCAATTCAGCATTCATAAGTTTAGTTAATTTTGACTGACATGACATAAGCAGATGATAATGTTTTAAAACAGCAGAGAGTTGTATGAAAGCAGTTGATGCATGTCCAAAAGCATTTGCAATTTGTTGGAAGGAATGAGAAACGGCTACTATGATCTGCACAAGTGACTAATTGTTTTGAGAAATGCATTAACTGTTGTGCAATGTAAATGGTGATGTGAGAAATGCGCCAAAACTGTAAAACAATGTTTTTGTCTGCGGTATCCTTTTTTAAGCCACCAGCTATGCAGCTGACAGGGTTCATGTTTTTTTTTTTTTTTTTCTTTCTACTAGTTTTTTAATTGTTCATCTTTTAACACGTTTCTTTTGTTTCAGGTGTTTGTAGTTGGTCCTGACAAGAGACTGAAGCTCTCTATTCTCTATCCGGCCACCACGGGGCGCAATTTCGATGAGATTCTCCGTGTTGTTGACTCTCTGCAGCTGACGGCTACAAAAAAAGTGGCCACACCAGTAGACTGGAAGGTGAGCTTTTTGTCTTTCCTTCTTTCTGTCTTTCCATTATTTCCGTCTGTTTGTCTCTGTCTTTCTTTCTGTCTTTCTTTCTTTCTTTCCGTCTGTTTTTCTCTCTTTGTCTTTTCCGTCTGTTTGTCTCCGTTTTTCCTTCCATCTGTTTCTGTCTTTCTTTCCTTCTGTTTGTCTCCGTTTTTCCTTCCATCTGCTTCTTTCTTTCCGTCTGTTTGTCTCTGTCTTTCCTTTCGTCTTTTTTTCTGTCTTTTTTTCCGTCTGTTTGTCTCTGTCTTTCCTTCCGTCTGTTTGTCTCTTTTTTTCTGTCTTTCTTTCTGTCTGTCTGTCTTTCTTTCCGTCTGTTTTTCTGTCTTTCTTTCTGTCTTCCTGTCTCTTTCTTTCCGTCTGTTTGTCTGTCTGTCTTTCTTTCTGTCTGTTTGTCTCTTTCTTTCTGTTTTTCTTTTTTTTTTTAGGGCTTTATCACATTCTTGCTGCATAATAAAATACAGATAATGGTGCATGGCTAAATTTAACCATTACATAAAAGTGATCATTGTTTGTGTGAAATCCTTGAATGTTTATTTTAATTAATTATTATTATTATTATTTTTTTAATAAAGCCTGGTCAAGAGGTCATGGTCATCCCCTCTCTCTCAGACGAAGAGGCCAACAAGCTTTTCCCAGCTGGTTTTACCCTCAAAGAAGTGCCTTCTGGAAAGAAATACATACGCTACACTAAACCATAACTGAATCCTGAAGGGCAGCGCTGTAGAAAATGCACTCACCTGCACATCATATTTAGTCTACTAGATATGGTGTGTTCAAACTACCTGCAAGTAATCAGTCATCACCATAATTCAGCTTTTATAAGTCACACACCATAAGGTCAACATATACAGTATACACTTATTGTATTGTGCCTTAGTTTCAATGAAATATCCCTTTTGTAATTAAAATGAGTCTTTGTTTGGACTGGACATTCTACTTTGAGTTATAATTTTTAATTTGTTTACTGTTCACCAAATAATATGCATATATTAATCAAAATGATTTTTCTGGGTATGAGCTGCACAATAAACAAAAGGACACACAGTAAAATATGGATAATTTCTTAATGTGTTTTAAACAGGGTTTTTTGACCTGTCACACTTTACAATAAAGTTTTATTTGTTGATGTATTTACTAACATAAACTACAGTAATTATGAACAACATTTGTACAGCATTTATTAATCGTAGTTCTGCATTTACTAATGCATTAGTAACATCCAAGTGAATTGTTGTTAGCATTAGTTAATGCACCGCAAGTTAACCTGAGCTAACACTGAACATTTGCATTAACTTAACATGCACAAATACGGCAATAATTGTATTGTCCATTGTTTATGTTTATAAATGCAACTCTAACTTTAAATAACTCATACAACCTTATTGTAAAGTGTTACATTTGAGCTAAAATAATCAAGGTAACTAGTTCTTGGTTGGTGGTAGTTGCTTGGTAGTTTTGAGCAAGTGACTCGAATACATAATAATAATAAAAAGGATTCAATCAGAAATGAATGCTTTGTCATGCAGAAATGTTCTGCTCCAGCGTATTGTCTTAAAAAAAAAAAAAAAACTGAACCTATTCACTTTTAACTTGTTTGTTCTATTAATTAAGTACCACATCTGAAAACCTGTACCATTGCTTATGTAATTCTTTTGGAAGTATTCCTTCGAGTAAGCCATACCCACAATTTATCCAGCATATGTTTTACACAGCGGATGCCCTTCCAGCTGAAACCCATCTCTGGGAAACATCCATACACACTCATATACTATGGTCAATTTTAGCAAACCCAATTCACCTGTATTGCATGTCTTTGAACTGTGGGAGAAACCGGAGCACCCAGAGGAAACTCAAGAAAATGTGGGGAGAACATGCAAACTCCACACAGAAACGCTAACTGACCCAGCCAAGGTTCGAACCAACCACCTTCATGCTGTGAGGCAACTACCTACTGCGCCACCGCATCAACTTCCTAATAAAAATATGAATTTAAAAGATAGATTTGTGAGGGGTGTACTCATATATGCCACTGTACATAGAATTTACGATAACACTATACAGTAACAGAACATGAATAATGATGTATTAATAAGTAAACTAAACATAAGTTTATTATGAATTAATGATGAGTTAAGGTATGCACTAATCATGAACTAACTTTAACTACAACATGAGTTCATGTGTGAATGACGGCTAGCTTTATTACTTGTTAGTTCATGATTGTTTGTTAATTAATGTAATAACTACCACATTAGTTTATGCTTAATTCGACCATGATGAACTCATGACATGTTACTGTATAATTATGTTGTAACTTTACTTGGAGGGGCACATCATCATTAACCCATTCTTAACTACTCATGAATTCCTTGTGCATGTCCAACTAACGTTAGCGAGTTTACACTGAATAACAATAGAAAAGTGTTCTGTCAACATTAACATGAACAGGAGTTTATGAGTAGTTAAGGATGAGTTAGTGATGTACCCCTCCAAGTAAAGTCATGACATAACTATACATTGTCAACTCATGAGTTCACTGCCCATTTAGCTCAAACTTAAATGTTAATTAATACATTAACAACATGTACTAACAAATAATTAAGGTAGTGCTTATTTACACATGAACTCATGTAAATCATTTTGTTGTTAAAGTTAATTCATGATTAGTGCATACCTTAACTCATCATTATTTATGTTACTGTTATTGTAAAGTGTTACTGAATTTACAACTCTTTACAAATGTATGCTACACAGTGGTGGGAAGATCCCTAAAAATCATACTTAAGTAAAAGTACAATTACTTGCCTAAAAATGTAGTGCAAGTAGAGTTACAGTATCTGTTGTAAGTATAAGTAAAAAGTAGACCTTTTAAAAGTATTACACTAAAAAGCTGATGCGTTTACAGCTAATTTGCGATTGTGTGTAAACGTAACATTCTGTAGTTTATTGATTTATTGGCCAGCACCAGCAGGCACACGACATCATAGGACGTTAATATTAGGTTAGATTAGGGTTTGTGAGGTCAGGTGACCAAAGTTCAGTGTCTAACCAGCGTCACCTTATTTTGATGTTCAATAACAACATCTAATGAAGTTGATTTTGGTCGATTTTAGGTTGTGCTAGTAAGTGACTAAAATCCAACGTTGAGCCAACAAATTTAACTGACGTCATATTGACGTCAAATACTGACATTTATTCGTCAAGTATGGCAACCAAAATCCAATGTCTGATAGACGTCATAGTGGTTACATCCACACAATGTCAAGCTGTAATAATTAGATGTTGATATTTGTCTAATGTGGAATCTCTAAAAGCTAATACATTTAACGTATTTTTAGAATCATGTGCAGGCTTTAGTGTTTAAGTAAAAAAGTAAACATTTATTATGTTCTCTACCATGTCTGAATAATCTATATTGTTAGATTGGGTAATTTAATATTATTTAAAATTAGCGGTTGTAGTATCCTGAAATGACCCCGAAAAATAGTTGCCTATTTTTAAAAGTACTCGGACAATTCCTTGCACCACACCTAATAGCCAATAGATGGCGGTATAAGACCTCAGATTGCATCTCAAAGATCTTATTTTACAGGTTTACTAAACCAAGGAGAAACCCGTTAACAATTGAGATCTCATTGATAGGCTTTGTTTTCCTTAATGTGGATGATGGGATGTGGATTCCTTAATGTGGATTCCTTAATGTGGATTATTTTAATGGTCCAACCTTCTTCAAAATATCTTCTTTTGTGTCAAAAAAGGTCTATTGTTTATTTTATTATTTATAATTATTTAACATTTATTTTATCTAAGTTAGATGATAATTTCAACTTTACTTTTTTTATTTTAATAACCATAATTATATTTTATATTTACTTATTTTGTTTAGGTTTATATACTACTTGTTTTATCTTTTAAATTAGATGTTTATTTTCCGTTTTTTAAACTTTAGATTTAATATTTATTTTCTTAAACATTAGATGATTATTTTATCGTATTATTCATAAAGTACTTTATTTAATTTTTCACTTATTTATTATTTTATTTAATTCAATTTTATTTTACTCACCATGAAAATGCTTTCCTCGGGTTTTGTGGCTGCCTCAAGATAACAAAGATGATTGTTATTGTGTTATTATAAAATAAACGAAGGAGCTATTCCTTTAAGAGCTTCTCTGATGTGTTGTTGGACTTCCAACCTTGTTGATCGACCTACAAAAATGCGATGGAATTTAGAAACTGTGACTCCAAACACAGCAGCGCCGGGTGTCAATGAGGCATGAAAGGAAGCCTTGTTATCACAAGCATTCCATTTGTCCATTAAAAACTAAAAAATGTTCCCACACGGGCACTTATGGGAGTAAATGATTGACCCAGAGCAGAGGCCTGACTCCCGGGTGTCCGGCATGAGTGCACTGTTCCTCGGCTCTGGAGCAGGTGGAGCGCGCGGGCTTTGGGTTTCCACAACTATTCAGCCGCGATACTGCAGCAGCTCGAATAACAGGGTGAAGGTCAGGGAAAAGTTATGCGGCTCGACGGAGAGCACCAGATGCTCTTGTGCTTCACAGAAGAGGACAGATTTCCTCTGGCTCTCTCCCTCCCTCCAGAAGAATCCCGTAAACAGACAGGGATTCCCCTCACTGGCCGGTAAACGCAGACGGCGTGTGTTTGAAGGGATGGGGGAGCAGACGAGCCGATGGCATTACTTACATCTGCATCAACTGTCCTGATAATCAAAGAAGATACTTTTTTAAAAAGTGTATATATTTAGAAAATATATATTTACATGTGTGAAACTTGTTACGTTTTGCAGAGGACAAGTACCACTAGATGGCAGTAGCAGATCACTGGTGAAAATGTACAATATTAGGGACCCTCAACTGACAGATTCTCAGGAGACAAACGATACTGTAGGTGACTGATAGACAGACAGACAGACAGACAGACAGATAGACAGATAGATAGATAGATAGATAGATAGATAGATAGATAGATAGATAGATAGATAGATAGATAGATAGATAGATAGATAGATAGATAGATAGTCTGGTTAATGATTGACAGTTACAATTTATTCAAACACAATAATACCATGACCATATGACCATATATAAAACCTTTAAAACAATGTTGTTTAGGACACCTGTAAGCACAAACATTTTAAAAATGGATACAGTGTATACATTTGGAAAAAGTCTCATAAGTCTATAGTCACACTCAAGCACTTGGCTATTACATTAAAGATAAAATTAAACAAATGTTAGCCTATAGTTAACCAAAATTACTTGTATATATAGAATTAGACCTGTAAATTACAGAAAAAAGTACTGCCAGCTACTTTAATTTTTTTTTTACCACAACATCGACCAACCAGACAATATTCAGTTTAAAACTTTTAAAAATGTCAATAAAACTTAAATTAAGCATAAATAAACACTCCTAAATTACAATTTTAAAAGAACTTGATTAAAACCTCACTCAATCATTACCATGCTTCATTTAACTAGTTGATCTTTATGGATAATAAGCCAGGAAAATGTTTTATGCAAGTTTTAGTCGAGCCATTAAGCCATGGTTGCACTAGTCTTCACGCTTCATTTACTTCCATTCATACGCAGGTAAACATGGGAGACCAGAAACACTCATGCGAAGAAGTTTTCTGTTCATGACCGTTAAACTCTGACCTGCGAATTTGCATAAGATATAGACATTTGACCAATCAGGCATTTAAAGGTTACAGACTGACCTTTAGGCTGAATCAGTTCACCCATTTAAAAAAATGTGATTTGCAAGTAATATTGAATGCTTGAAGAAGTCTTGTGTAGGTAATAATGTTGTTTACAAAGATTATATATCCATACACACAACATGAATGGTGTGGTTCATTAGAGCGTGTGTTAGAAAAATATAAGCTTTGCTAATTATATTGTTC